TATAAATGAATTAAACAAAAAAATAGCAACGCCATATCTTCGCTTCTGTCAAATGGATTTTTTTTTAAACTTTTTTAAAAATCCTTTTTAAATGGTGTGATAGTGTCATAAAAATTAGATATCGTTTTGAGACCATGAAGAAATTCTCGATACGTTTCACAAAGAATCACTCATATATGTATCGTTCGTAATAATCATATATAAGAAATGGAAAGACAGTATTTCCGAAGATAGAAAAGCCTTTACACGTAGAAAAACTTTACGACATATAATAACAAATTATAAAAATAATTACGCAGATGTTGCAAAATTATTATTTATTTTCCTCAGAATTGGACTTTATAACCCAAATTACAAATAAAATTAATAAGACTACGAGTTTGACAAATCGGCCTATAAATTTTCGGGATTCCAATTCGTTTTGATTTCTGATTTCTGGATATGTTATTTGAAATTTCGGCACCTTTTCAGGATGTGTTTTTTGAATTTCCGACAGCTTTTTCCAATTTATTTGTATTTCTTTTAAGACTTTAATATTGTCGCTAGCACTTGAACTTGGCAAATCAAAAGAAATTAGATGTAGACTCTCATCGTTCGCATCTAAAGTTTCATCGGTTCCATTAGACTGCAAGAGGCTAACCAAACGATCTTGCTCAATTTTCGACACATCTGGTAATTGCGAAGATTCGACTTCACGCTGTTATAAATTGCCGACAAGATAATTAAAGTTAATATCACATAAATTATGTAATTAACTTACCAGCTCCTCACTCGTACTTGGTAAATCCAAAGGAATTGAATGTAGACTCTGATCTTTCGCACTTAAAGCTTCTTCAGTTACATTTGACCCCAAGAGACTAACCAATCGATCTTGCTCTATTTTCGCTTCATCTGAGAGTTGCGAAGACTCGATGCGCTATCAGGAATTCAAAAGAAAAAAAATATTATATCACGAAAATAAATGATGTAATAAACTTACCAGTACTCCTGCCAAGGAAGTTTGCAAGGCCATCCCGAAGAAGAAAAGTATTAGAACGTATTGCTGCATTGCGTTCTCAAAAACATCTACCTTTACGCAACCAAATAAGAATAAAGACTGTTTCGGATGATGAGCTGCTAAAATTTGCCGGGTATTTCTACACCTTAAATATGAGATGCTTGATTCGGGATTTGATTATCTAAATCGAAGGCGTAAAAAATGATTGCCCAGTAATTAATATACATTAAATATATTCAATGCTTTCACTTTCAAAATATGTTTTGAATGAAAAAAAAAACCAAACTTTGGTTGAGCTTTCCCTAGAATTCAAATCCAAAATTAAATCAGAAAATATTATCAGTAAATCCGTAAAGGAACATTCACACATGAGTTGCGTTGACTATTTGCTCTCTTTGCTGAACACATACATATATATGTAGAAATATTATTCATTATCAATTTCCGTCCAATTCTGTCTGGAAACCCCACTAAAAATTTTAAAGGGCAGCAATTGATACACAGAAAAAAATATGACAAAATATCAAATTGATATTTGTTGGTTAATTTGATCTTTTTTAAGGATCAAGTTTCGTCATATCATTCTAACATGAAGAAATATTATTTTGATCTTATTTCATATTAATTTTTGAAAAAAAATACTGAATTCGGTATTTAAATCAAGTATATTTACAATTTATATGAAATCGTATGACTTTGATATGAAAAAATATGAAATGTCGTTTCGAATTTAGTTCGAAAGGGAGAAATAGTGTTCCACAGTTTACAACACTGTACCAATGTGAGATTGTGCAGCACTGCGAAAACAGCTGGAGCCCAACTTTGCGACCAAAAATATTCGAGAACAAGGTGTTTTTATTGTCAAATGAAATCAATTTATTTTTTTATTGAGTGCTAAGTCGAAACATTACAAAGTTGTGGTGATTTTAACTTTGCCGTCGAGTTAGCACACAATTTAAAGACATTTCGGTTCTGAATGTGCGTGTGTGTGTGTGCCGGCCGCAGTTTTACGTTGTGTATGTCACAGGCAAAACTAAAATAATAAAATATTGAAGATTTTGCTGGCCCACCTGTACATATGTACACCGACTCAAAAAAATGTGAAATGATTAGAATTAAATTGTTTTAATATAATATAAAAATTTCTGTTTTACTGGGGGGTACTAATATACACGAAATAATATCATTTTGATGAACAAAATTGATATAAAAAATATCATTTTGATGACAAAAATTGATATAAAAAATATCATTTTGATGACCAAAAAGTTCAAATGTTATTTTAAACACTAATCTTTCTTAAGATTGAATTGATATTTAAAAATATCAACTTGATATTCTCGAAAATATCAACTTGATATGTTCGAAATATCAATCTTGCATTAATTAATATCGGCCCAAATTTGATATGAAATAATGTTAACTTGAGTGCAATTTCATATCAATTTTTTTTTCTGTGTAGGTAATACCTATTAGGTATACATATATTAAAAATTCGTTTACATTTAATTTTTTTAGCTAGACTTTTTTAAAACAGTTTAATGTTGTGATGTTATTTGGGCAGCCATATTATTTGTACATCGTCGTGGTAAACATCACTATTCGATTCCTTACTTTCCAATTTTGCCGGTGATATTATGGCCTCGCATATATAAAATTTTATGTCTGAGCAGTCAGCTTTACTCATATAGAGATCTATTGGGACCAATTCCACGCAATCAATAAACCAAGAAATCTGCGGCTGACCCCTAGCCCATTTAAGAAAAGAAGCATTCCTGGTGGTAATTTCGTACGCAAACTGGTCAAAATATGTTTCGTCATTGATATTCACCCAATAGTTAAAGGACGGCAATAGTTCTTCTGTTAGCATGGCCCATTCCTGTTCATTTTGGATATTCACCAGGCTGGCATTAAGTGATCGACATCGATTTCTAGCTGCATACCAGTCTAAGAATATATCGTTTTCAATATAGTAGTACTTTTCACCAATTTTGTTGAAAACAACTTTCGGTTTGTCACTTAACTTTGACTCAGCAACTTTAGTCTCATCTAGTTTGTTGGATTCATTAATCTCTTCCAAGTTTTCAGGAACCTTAATCTCTTCCAACTTTTTAGATTGAGGGACCTTAACCTCCTCAAACTTTTCAGATTCACCAATTGTTATCTCCTCCAACTTTTTAGATTCACCAATCGTTATCTCCTCCAACTTTTTAGATTCACTAATCGTTATCTCATCGAATTTCTTAGATTTCGTATCTCTGGCATTACTTGCGACCAGCTTTTCGATGATAGAAATCTTCTCAAAAAGAACGTCATATGTCGATAATAATTTGGTTATACGGTTACTTAACTCCTTCTTCAAGTTATTTTCCAGTTTGTCAATCTGATCAAGAATTCTCTCAAGAGAAAGTTTTTTAGACTTTGAGTTTACATCGTCCAGATTAATTGTTTTCTCCACATAATACGTTTTTTGTCGGTTTTCCAAGCGGATAACTCTTTGCTCCAAACTTTCGGCATCAACGATTTGACGAGCTTCCAGCCTCACTAACCTTCGTTCAATGTAGTCGAAATTTGTTTGGTACTGTCATGAATTTAAGAGGAATAAGTATCATTTTTGAGACTGGTTCCCAGTTTAAGCTTACCTGTTCGCTCGTGGAAATGATTTGCCTGGCGAACCCGAAAATAAATAGAAATACGAGGTATCGCATTTTGTTCAGAAAACACAACATTCGCGCAGCAATAGAACATTAGGACTGGAAAAGTGTGTAAAACTCAAATATTACTGCATTTACAGGGCAATAAATTACGATTAGTTGATTATTTTGTGGCCTAGTCAATAGCGAAAATAAAATTGATAACAAATTATGTTGAAGTCAATGAAATAACATTAAATATGTTAGCAGCATACTAATTGATAACAAATTATGTTAAAGAATAGAAATGATATGTGTTTTTTTTGTGTATAGATTGTTTTCTTATCTCTAAACGTTTCTAATTTTTCGGTACTAATCTTTTGCTCTATTTTCGTGACATTCACACGCCTTGCCTTCTTGTTAATTACCCCTGTCATTGACTAATTTTTATTGTTTGTATTTCATTTAAAAATATTTTAATATATTTTACCATTGAAAATGTAGTAAGCAAACGACCACTAGCTTAACCAAAAAATAGTTGGCTACTTATTTTCTCCTTATTGATTTTTAGTTTTGCATTCAATTCACAACTAGCAATTTAATTAGTTGCAGACCAAAGTTAAATGAGGAAAATAACTCAACGCTTTTTTCAATGGTGCGGCATAATGAGCGAAGCAGGAATATCCAGTCGCTGATGAGGCTGCTAATTCAAAACCGGAAAAGCTTTTAACCAATTTACATAATTTACCCCGGCTCAGTCCAAATCGTCTGGCCGGCCATTTTTCTCTTGGCCGGCATCAACTCGCCACCCAACGACATCTTTAAAGAAATTAATTAATGAAATGTTGATTAACTTTTGCCAGCCAGCCAAGTTGAGTTCCGCCTTTGCCCCTCTCTCCCTCCGTCATTCCCCTCCGTCTGAGATTTATGTCAAGGCATTTATCATGGCTCCAAAGGAGTAAACAAGTCCTGGGCGTTGCAGACTTTTCAAGGAGCAGCCGCATGGGGCGTGAGCATAATCCACAAAATTATGCGCACTAAAGCTATTTACAATTCGTAAAATTTATTTTTAAAATGTTTACAGTGGGCGTGGCGGGGGGCAGGGCGAGCTTTGGTTCGGTTTGGTCTCGTTTTGTCTGGCAGGACCTCCGAATGGGATGAAACGGCGTGGGCGTGGTCGCCTGATGGCTTGTCCTTGTCTGGGGCTAATTAGCGTGACTGCGCCAAAAAAGCAGAGTGACATTTGCAAGGGTCAGCTGGTTGAAAAAAAAAAAGTGTAGGTTGCAGAATATCCAATGCCCTTGTATACAAATTTTATATTCATTTTTTATAAATTATTATTTTATTCCTTTTGAATTCCCAGAAGTTATTTATTCCCTTTCGAATGACTCATATCCCGGTAAGAGGTCCTTGCGAATTGTAATTCGGGGAGTCTTGTACCGATTGAAGTAATTGGGATCCACAATCAGCGGAAATTGATTATTTCCTGTGCCCAGCACCAAGGGATTTTTGGAAGCTGGCAACCCTGGCAAATTCAGAGGTTCCATAGGGTCTGCATCTTCGTCCCACGACTTAAAACCGATGTGGCGCATCTGGTCCACTATCTCCTGTTCCAAATTGCTCTCGTCGTCCCAATCTGCCAGAGTTACAGGCTTATCGTACTTTCTTCCAGAACATTCACGAAGATATCGCATCACATCCAGCTTGCCCCGATTTTCCAGCTCTTGCTGCTTGGCTTTCTCCTTGGCAGTCAGTTGTTTAAACGAATACTGGTCCATGACTGTGGTTCACAAATTAAAAAACCCAGGGTTAATAATATGTTGTATTTGTTAGAGATATTTTTGAAAAAGAATACTTTTAGGTTGGTCAAAATTTTATTTCCTAGCTGGAGCTGCTTTGTCTACGACAGTTAGTTATGAACTAAAAATAAAATTAGTTTTCAGACAAATGGTCGACTGACAAATGTGACAGGTTAGTCCAAGGCTTGGTTGTCTTTGTTCAAGTATCTTTGATTTTAATAAAATTAAATTGAAACAGGTTGAACTAAGTAGCCTCCTTTAATTTCCTTGAATTCGAAATGACCAAATTCCACAAAGGGTATTTAATAGCACATTTGGCATCGCGCATCGCATCTCGGTGCCCGTAATGCGATTAATCATTGTCCATTGGATTGTTTTGAGGGTCGCCCATGGAACTCGTCAAGTTGGCCCTGGTTGTTGTTACTGTTTCGCCTGATTGATTTATGTTTCTAAGCCCATTGTTTGGCACAGAAATGTGTGGGGTGGGGATCCCCCCGCCGAGAGGCTTAATTAGTTTGACCCAGGTGTTTGCGAGGCGAATGGCCAAAAGGAAAAGGTCTCAAGCTACAAGGGCTATTAGTCAAAGTCGTGTGATAAGTCACGGCGAAAGGCTTAACGCTCAAAGCAAAGGGGTGGATTTATCGCGGGTCTGATTATAGAATTGCATAAAAAATGGTCGGCCAATAAACCATTTGTGACGTGCTATTCATACCTTTTGTGCGGCCCAATAAATAACATGACACAATCTATGGCAAAAACATTATTTGGCAATAAAATGGAAATCGATTCGAGCCAAAGTTGACAAATGGCGGGCAAGGAACAAATGGAGCGCCGTAAGAAAAATAATATCAACTATCAAGGATTTCCCTGCTTCTGCTTCTGTTCTTCCATCTTTTGCTCCTTTTGCTCCAGCTCCTGGCTGCTGTGACAATTTACATGGCCCAATTGCAGTCCCCTTTCCCAGCATTTTCCGCTTTCCCCGTCCCCGCCTCAATGGCTTTTCCATTCTCCCAATTGCCCTGCCACGTCGTTCAAATTGAAATTTTTCCGAAAAACCCCACTCGTAAACTCACAGGACACACGTATGTGTGCTTGGGACATCCTTTTGTGCTCCGCTCCCTTTGTACTTGTCATTTATGAAAATTTGTTTATTTTCGTAATGCTCCATTTGCAAATGTAGCCAAAGTAAATATTGCAGATGCACGGAGATGGAGTTTCCCTCTGTGAGTTATTTTTTATGGCTCTGACTGCGAAGCATAATTCACGCGCCTTTTGTTAACATTTACATGACCCCCATTGCTCTCTGGATATTTATTGGGGAAAATGCGCTGTCATATTATAAATACGCTGAAAAAATATATACATATTTTTGTTGATTTAATTAAACAAAGGTGCGTTTCTTTCATTTGCAATGCATTAAAAAATATGTGTTATTGTACATACCATTTCCATTACGGCTGACACTTTTATTACGAATTTGTTATTGAATTTACCATAATTAAATTAGGCATCTGCTTTCAGTCACTCGCTGAAGCTTAATTATTTTTTCAGCATAATTAGTAAGGATGCACATTTATTTCCAAGAATTAAATTATTTTTAAATTTGCCCCTCAAAAATATTTGCAACTTTCTTTTGACACTTTTACTCTTTCAAGTTACATTTTAACATATTTTATTTAATTTCATGCGGTTTTAATCTCATTACGAAAATCGTACCTCCCTTTTTATTTGAATTTTTTTGCCATTCGTACTTTGATTAAATATTCATTATTGGTAATAAATTCTCGTATAGATTTAATAACATAAATTATAGCATAAGCTTTCAGCAAGGACACGGTCCTGCGTCGGCTGCCAGCCAACAACAGCAAGGACAGTTAAATTAATTGGCAATTAATTATAGTTTGTGCTAAATGAGCCAGCATGTTATTGTTTGTGCTAACAAGCCAGGGCCGTACACAATTAAGACTATTTATTTTTGATCAATTAAATAGCGCTTTTTGTCCAGACATTTTTTCCTAGGCTTTTTAATTAAATTGAAAAATGGACACATCTTTGAAAATTAATTGTTAGCCGAATGACAATAGAGTCCGGAAAATTTTTAAGTATGACAAGCTACTCCCTTTACTTTAATAGTAATAATGATTTTTTTTTATTTCGTTCATTCTGCTTAAATATTATATTTATTGTATCATTTTCTTCATTAAGGATGATTTTTCTTTAACGAAATATTTATGAATTCCATGAAAAAATACGCATTTTATTATGTTGGTCGTATCTTTCTACTTTTTTTGTCAAACAAAAAGAATGACAAATATGACAATCGCGAAATGAAGCTTAAATCATTGACCCATAAACGAAATGACAACAGAGAGAACCCAATAACAGAGAACTTCCGCCAGGCATAGATTTTTAATAAATTTCCATAACCAAAGCTGGCTAACTACCCGGCATTTCCACTCACTTTCCACCACCAAACAGGAAAAAAAACAGAAAACCAGCAAGGCGAACTGTAAACATATTTCCCATATTACGTCACAGTGGCTTGTCATAAAGGAGTCGCAACATCAAATGATGGCAAAGAAAAACAGGCTGCCAAATACAACAAAACCGAAAAAGCAAATAAACACAAAGCAGTTAAGGGTGGAGGGGCTGAAAATGGGAGGGGGAGTGTGGGTGGGGGAAAACCCGCCAGCGAGCCATAAAAATAGCTGAGGCCAAAAGCATTCAAACTTATGCTGGGACGGAGCCACCGAAAGCTCGCGACTGGCGCTTATATTTTATTGCTATTATCCTGTTTACTCCATGTTTATGCACACACACACAGTTGCACAAACAGGAGCGTATACCGACGAGGGAGCACATGTTCAGCTATGCGATGGTGTGCGAATTAGTTGTGGCAGTCAAATGAAAGTGGATTCCTCGATTTTTGGCTTTTCATTTCTATTTTTCAGCACCCTTACCAAAAGGGAACCGCCTTAGTTTACTCTTCAAAATTTGGAAAATATTTTCAATATTATAATTAAATTTATGGAAAATGTATGGCCTATTAAATTGTTTTTTTTTTTAAGATTTAAAAAAAAAAATATTTGTAGTGGAACTATCAAATAAAATATATTTGTAAAATACAAAAAATTTGAGGATTGCAATGCATTAAAATTATCCATATTTATTTCAATAAAACCTTCAGGTAAGTTAAAGAGCATTAAAGGCATCGAATATCTTCCGTTTTTCCCATCCATTTTTTCTTCTTTTGGGTTTCGTTCAATTGAAATGGACAAGTCGGTGGTTTTTGGGGGTGGATTGAAGTCTGAAGATTTGAGGGGTGGAGCACTATAGTTTAGTGACGTGTTTATATTCACGCACATATGGAAACCCGAGTCAGATGTCGCCGTGTGGTTTTTACGAGATGTCCCTCCCCCAGAATTTTCCTTTATTTGCTAGTTGATAAGGGGGAAAAGTGCTAACCTTGTACCTTTTCTCGGTGCTCCATTTGGACAGAAGTCACTAACTGGCTAAACAGCCAGCGAATCGGGAGAAATTCCCCATTGTTCAGCGTTCAGCTTCTCCCTTTGTTAGACTTCCACTTGGGGTTAAAAGCATTGAATATCTAAAGAGACAACACTGTCATATTTTCAAATTGAGTGTACAAGTGCTTTCACTAAACTTTTGCTCATGTGAATTGGGTGGAACAAAGGAGGGTCCAGCACACATTTGTTAGCTTTAATAAACATTTATGTGACTTTGGCTTAAGTGCTGCATACTTTTTGGGGCAGACGTCCATGGAATGGAGAAGAGTTGGGGGCAAGGGCAAACAAATAAATTACGTCGCCAGCATCTAAGAACAACAAATCAAGAAATGTATGCATAAATTCAACAATTTCCACAAGTAGCCAAGAAAGTAGCTGAAAAATCCCCCCTTCCCCCGGCATTTTCCACCCGCCTTTCTGCTTTTCCAATGACTCGCTATGTAATTTATGACTTGACGCTGGAGCAACCACAAAACCAGAAGCAAGAGCAAAAGCACCAGCAGCACCACCACTAGAACCAATGACAATTTTCGGAACAATTTTCGCGAGAGATAGAAATGGAAGGGCGGGCAAGGCGAGAAAGGAGCGGCGGAGACGCCTCAAGAAGTGCCCAAGTATGCCGGTGGTTGTGTGGGAAAATTGTAAAATTGTTGAAATATAAAACTTTCCGCTGCATAGCGAGCTAACGATGTGGAAACCTGAAGAAAGTTATGTTATCAATTTCAGGAGCAACAAATAAATTTAAATTTACCACAAAGGACGAGCCGGGTTCATCGTCTTGTCGAAAATTATGACCAGCAGGGCGAAAGGTTCAGCTGAGATCCCCTAAGTTATTGCCGAACTTTGATTTTGGGATTTTAAATTAAAACGAGCCTTCTAAATGGCGAATTAATTTTTAGGAATTAGAATTTTAAATATTCCGCAGGCATTTTATTTTATGTGTACTTTGTTAGGCGTCATGCAAAGATAAGTGTTATTTTCGGTTACAAAATCAATTTCCCCTCTAGCCAAGCAATTTCCGAAAGCAATAATTATGCCAAGTGTCAATGCAAAAAAGCAAAGGAAAGACCGCAGAGAAATGAAAGTGTTGAAAGGGTACGGAAAAACCATCTTTCTTTGGCCACCACGGCCTCCATTTCCCCAGCCACAATTAATAACATTTTGTGTGTGTATTTGGCACAAATCTTGAACAGAGCCCTATAAATCCTGGAGCATTTAATTCGAACAATAGGGAAAATAATTACGAGTGCTGAGCACGTGAGTCGAGGGCACTTGAGCGGTTCGAGGGTGGTTAACAATTGCTGCGGGTAGAAGGTTGGAGGAGTGAATCCGGATAAGCCGTGAAAAAATTACACCTACCGAAGAAGGCACTGAATCTCTGACTGACTGACTGGTTCGTCCAACTGACAGTCAGCCGGAAGCAGCAACAAAGTCTGCTCTGCCCTATATGCG